AGATTCCGGCGCGAATGCCAAGCAGTACAGAATGCCGTTTCCAAATTCTTGGCGTAGTGAATTGTGTCATGGTACTCTTTTTCACACAGACGGTGCCCAACAGACTCTGCTATACTGTGCAGTTGACAAAATCAAAAACAAAAAACGCGCATACATGAAATTTAAAATATAAATGACGATGATTTATCCATCGCACCCTTTACATATATATATATATATATATATATATATATATATATATATATAATTTGCAGTCTTTTTTCTCTAATAAGATTTCCCGAATATTCTGGACGATAGAGGAAAGTAAATAAATATACTTTTTATTAAATAATAGCGTGTCTACTCAAATATGATATATCCACTAAAATATCATATATATATATATATATATATATATATATATATATATATATATATATATATATATATATGATAGTTGTATATTTAGGCAGCAGTCCTTCATTTATGCATGTTTTATTAAAAACGACTAACAAGGTACTACAGTTAAGCTTTTTATTTCATTTTTCTTGTGTTCGCACAAGAGCTTTCATTTTTGGACACAGAGTCTGTAGAAACTGGGGCATTTGAACTCATAGATAATGTTCGTTCGTTGTAATTTTGACTTAGCTCGTGTGTTGTTGTTTTTGAGGATAAGGTTATCTGTCTTAAATGTTTTTATAGTAGATAATTAATTTGATTTTTTTATTCTGCTTGATTAGGGTAGTGTATGACTATATAACAATATTAACTACGAACTAGGCCACAGTGTGCTGTGTTCGGAAAATAAGACACCCCTATAGCACACTAAAAGCATACACATAACGCACACAATTAAACTGAAAAATAAAATCATCCTTGATAATGGCTAAACGTATAGCCGAAAGCGCTTGGAATTATAGAACATTTAAACAGTTTCATCACACTGTGTCCAAAAAAGAAAGCTCTTGTGCGAACACAAGAAAAATTAAATAAAAAGCTTAACAGTATTACCTTGTCTGTCGTTTTTGATTATATATATATATATATATATATATATATATATATATATATACATTGGTGTGTGTGTTAAAGAACTAAACCAAATCATACGAAAGTACTAATAATGTAAGGCAGAACGTAGGTAAAATAACAATAAACACTTAAATCAAAACTTTAAGAGAAAACAACACGTATACTTGATTCCTCTTCTATTATGGTCTATGCATCCCGGATGATTCTCGACGTTTTTTCTTTTGTTTTTTAAATTCATCCTTCATTAAGTCGAGTACTTCACAGAATATCAATTAGACTTGCAGAAGGCGTCGGCGAATCAAGTAATATTTATTCGAATTAAAGCGAGGAATACAAAACTTCTTAGATTCTTGTCATAAATTAATGCGTTTCTTAAGCACGGGTCCTATTTAATGGCATTTGCACGAAAGTTAAGACATTATTGCAACTATAATGTTATCTAAACGGCGCAGCCACTCGTATTCGACGATGCCCGTCTACTAGGGTGGCTGACTCATCCATGTTGGCAGATCATATCAAGAAATCACCTTGCGCCTTCTCACAAGATAACACTACTAGATAACGCCTACTCACGAGATAACATAAAAGATAAAGCATTGGTTAAAGTGCGTCTAGTGACCTGACAGTCATGAGTTCAATCTCTAGATCAGTTAGTGAAAATTGAATACTCTGGTTCCGTTGGAAACGGAAAACAAGTTGACTCGGTTGAATGAACAATTAGCAGATACCCTTAAAAAAATACAGAGAATTAGAACCATTCACACTGTGCATTGATTTAAGTGTTCATGGATCAGAAATTTCTAGAAGGTTAAATAAGATGACAGACGCCAAAGAAGGTCTTAACCTATAACGGGTGGTACGTCGTGACTATGGGAAAAAGACGAAAGAAAGAAGAAAATAATGTATATAAATGCATTAAAAGAAGACATTTTAATTTAACAACTATTTGAAAAAGACATTTTCATAAAAAAGAAAACGTGTAAAACTCCGCGTATATAAGACTCATTGTATTATCTCTATATAAGCGGGTGCTGGAAAGTTTCAGGCCCGTCCAAGAAGGCTGGCAATTTGCCATGAATCCAATACATTGAATACATTTCGCACAGTTTCATTAACTCTTCAATAAAAATATAAAATAAAAAAAATCGTTTAGTCTATTGAAATACTAATTTTTGAAAAAAAGAGAAGAATTTTTCAGCACCTCAACATCTTTTTTATTTTCATCTTTTTTTTTTTTAAGGATTAATGCAAATTAAAGTGAATATATGTAATTACATTTACGTTTCATGGCGCAAGGTAATTCTTCTTTATCGGGCCAGTAAATTTTCAGCACCCACCCTTGTACATAATATATACTAAGCCTGTCAGGAGGTACTCAATTTTCTGTTTTCTTAACATCTAGGCATCCAAGTGATGTGGTTCCGAGGGAATCCCACTCGTCTTCAGAGTGGTTTGCGTCTTATCATTTCCATCTTGAGACGCCAATTTG